AACGCACGCAGCACACAACACACACACACACATACAAAGCGCACAGCGCACACGCACACACAAGCTCGCGGGGATCTCAGATTTCTAGGCGCGAGTCAAGCCCTTTCCCGGCGTTGGTGGAGCGGCTCCAGAGCAACACCACGCTGCTGCAAATGGCGGCATCCGGCAACGCACGGGAAGAGGCAGGTTTTCTTCTCTTGGTTGCGTTTGCCCGTTTCTCGTGTTGAACTTGGATTTGTGTGCTGCATTCTGGCTGGCCGTCTTCTTCCAGCATCCTGCACGCGCACGCAGAGCCCTCTGAGCAGCTCTCCTCAAACTCTTTGGGCCTTGAGAAGCAAAACCTAGACGAACAACGCCCGGCCCATGAGGACCTATTCATTGATCCCTTTCAGACGTACTGCGCGCTCAGCGGTGGGACTGATTGCGCTAAGATCGGCAAGGAGAGTTGCACCTGTTATTGCCACTCGGCGCTCTCAACTGGCCATGGATAGTGAAAACCGTCTCCAAATCCCGGAGCCCGTATAGAGCTAGCGCCCAGGCGTGGAGCCTGGGACTTGCACCTCGGTCATGGCCGCCAAGTACGGCAAGGCGGCTGTGGCCATCCTGGCTGCTTGGAAGGGCCAAAGGGCCAAAGTCGGGATGGGCTTTGGTTTTGGGCCTGGGTGGATTTGAGGCTTGCGGGCGGGGTGAGAGTCAGTGTATGATTCTCATGGGCTAGCTGAGTGCGGGGCCCTGGTGAAACGGTCGCAAAAGGAGATGGCCCTTGACATCGTGGCCGTGGTCTTCACTGGGGGCACTTCCGCTGTAGCGAAGGCGGGTTTCGCGAAGGCTGATTGGCCCTCTTGATAAGACTCGATTCTTGGATGTCCAAGAGGCTGGGGCTCGACCGTGCTTCGGAAATCTTCGGTTTCTGGGAACGTTTGAGTGCGCAGGCTGGCGCGAAGGCGGCGGCGAAGGCTGCCATGAAGGCCGCAGCGAAGAAGGCCGCGATGACGGCCGGCAAGTCCCTGGTCACTAGGGCTGCGTCGTCCTGGGCCAAGGCCACTTGGCCACTCGGGCGACTTTGGGCACTGGGCGTTGACATTGGTTGATGTGCTGTAGGGAGTGTCGTGAGCCGTTGCTAGGCTTTCGTAAAGAAGGCGGCCAAGCAGAGCATGAAAGGGCGTCTCAAGAGGCAGGTGGCCAAGGACTTCACCAAGGAGTGGTCCATCAAAACCGTGAGGGAGAAGATCAAGTTGATGGCAAGGGAGAAGGTCCGTGACGCCATCACAGATGCACTCACCGGCGCAGCCTGCGAAAACCTTCTCGGTGACGTTTTCGACGAGCACATTGATGACCCTTCATGGGTCTCCGACCCCGAGTTCAGATGGGGTGATGGTCAGGGTCCCTCTGGCTACCTGGAGACCGTCGATATCACAGGTATCGTGGGTCTGGTGGGGATCTTCCATGAGGCCGACTGCCCCGCTCCCGTTCCGGCGAAAGTTGCCCACGCTAGGCTAGTGGTGCTCATAAGGGTGCCTCTATATATGAAACGCGGGCTTTGCGACGCCTTTGGCAAGCTGCCCAGCTTTTGTTTTTGTATTAGTCATATTAGTCCTTAGCCTGATGGGCGAGCAGGAGCGTTTGCAAAAGGGAATTGGCACGCTGCCTGATATGCTTTGTGAAATGAAGCACCGCGTCCATCTGGCACCACCATTTCTTTGCTCCAGGCAGCTGTGGATAATTATTCAAGTTCCCCCTCTTCATCCCTGCCAGCAACATGTGCAGCTCAACGGGATATTCCTCCCGCAACCCACGGTAGGTTTCGCCTTGGGTCGGAATGAAAACATGGCTCCTGACAAATGCTTCTGAGCCATTTGGCATTTTTTTTGTGCGGCAGAGCTGTGAGGCCAAATCTGCAAAGGTTGCAGGACAGGGTGCAGAGGGGATGAATGGAGGCCTTGAGATCTCAGAGGTTCCACCTTGGCCTCCACGTTCTCAGGCACTGAGGATTTATGCGGAAGCGGCGTTGCCAACAGCGCCAGGAGCATCTGAGACCCTGCTGCCTGCCGAAGGGTAGATGGCGCTGGAGTGAGCGATGTCAGGCAGAGTCTCCGGGATCTGCGCAAGGAATGCTCAATTCAACACAATGACATAATCCTAGTCAGCCAAACCAGACATATACTAAGCGCCCAACTGGGCTGCAAGCCTCACCAGAACACACGAGAACTATCTGCGGGATGGAGCGCCCCAAGCGCCCAGTGCGGCTGCCGAAGCTTTACGAGCCACAAAAGCGGGGCGAAAACGGGCGTGGATGGCGACAATTCGGCTCTTGGAGAGCTCTTGGATCACGCCTCGCAGCCGGTCCTGAGCAATTTGTACCGCGAGCACGCCTCAAGCGCCGAAAAGTAGAGAAGGTTAGACAGTGCAAATCCAGTATGGGACTTAAGGACAAGAATGATTGTTTACAAGGGATGCACAGTACACGACTCCAGCAAACAAAACGGACACTTCTGCAGCTGCAGCTCGAAGAGCGCAGCTTGGTGCACATCTCGTACGCGGAGTGCGGCTCTGCGGAGCACCTCGTTTCGGCCTGTCCAGCTCGCATCACCTGCGCAATGGTTGCAGAGGGTTCCCCGAAGGAGCACGAGGACACTCTAACAAGGTGGGAGCGCGCGGGAATATCGGTTTACAGGTCCTTCAATTGAAGGCTTGTTCGACTGCAGGGTTCACCCCTCAAAACGGTTTGTTTCCTTGCATGTTAAAAACATTTTTACACAATGGGAACCTAGGCCTAGTTTACTCGGGGGGTGGGGGGCTGGCCCTTTCTGAAAGCCTCATTTATCCGCCTTTCTGACGAATCCAGGGTCAGCGTCGCTGGACACATTCGCTAGGTATTGGCGTTGTTGCGAGGTTCATCTCTAAATGGACTGGAGTGAACGAGTGGTTCCCTTTGGCTTCTTGAGCCAAAACCGCCAGGTGTCTGGCGAACCTTCGCAGCAGCTGCTTCGAGACCTCTGGGCAAGTTGAGGCAAAAGCGCGAGTGAACGCCGTGCCAAACATGAGAGAGCGTCAAGGCCAGATCCTGCACCACTTTGAAACCATGGGAAACCATCGTTTGTTGGTATTTACAGGAGAATAATCATTCCAGGGTTTCTTAGGTGGTGCAGGATTTCGTCCATTGACAGGTATTTGTGGTTACCACAACTAGGTTGTGGGTATTTGCCCTCTTGGTTCTTATGAAGGTGGGCAGGCCGCTTGAATGCCAGGTGTTGATTGTTGACTCAAGCTTGGGCATGCCACGTCAGAGGAAAGGCGACCCTGGAGGTCGATCATCATTTTAGCATGTGCAATCAAAATGCCACGAAGGGAACCCACGTGAAATCAGTAGCTGGGAGATGCTGCGGTTCTGACACATAGTTTCTCATTTGGAAAGAATGGTGAAATAAACCCTCCACCCCAAACGGCATGGGCCCTGGCTAGGTGCTTCGCTCAGAAAATCGAGCGCTCAAGGCGCGCTTAGCCAAGTTGGAGCGGGAGGGCTGCTCGGCAAGAAGGGCTCAGGGGACTTCGGCCTGAAATGGTTTGCTCTTGGGTTTCCCTTGTCAACAACTGGGTTCATTTGCAAAGGAAGCAATATTTTTGGTTTCCCTTTTTCAACCCCGAACAAGACTTTCCCCGCAAAGACCGGTGACCGGCAGAGGGGAAGGGGGAAGCATCTTTGATCTTGCACAAGTGCAGAGCTTTTCACTGAGGTTGCAAGGAGGAGGACGTGCTGAGGCGATGCGACTTATCGAAAAATAGGTGTCTGTTTCTCATCCGCTGAGGCAAGTCAACTTGCCTGGCTGTGCCGTGGAGCCGCGGGAGGACGCCTTTTGTCTATCCCCGCAACCAGGTCTCTCTCGCATAGAGACCCACTGTGGCTCTGGGTCAAAAAAGTGTACCGAAAATGGAACCCTGGTAAGTGGAAACATGGACTAAACTCTGCGGTCCCCTGGTGGTTTAATTTTGACCCATACCCATGTTCAGATGGTTTTAAGGGGATCAACAGGGAGCCGTTCAGTGTTTTTTTGCACGACCGCCTCGCCCGGCTTTCGGTGGCGGTGCCGCGCCGGAGACTGCCCAGGAGGACCATCCGAAGACGGGCTCGAAATTGGAAATGAAACCGGAAATCAGCCGGAAGTCGACCAAGACCAAGTCGCTGATGGGGCGCCGTGGCGGCACCTGTGGACAGTCCTCGCCATAGGCGGAGGTGTGCAGCACTTTTGGCTCGTTTGCGGTATTGTTTGGGCTGTTTTCATCCTCCCCATCCATTCCAGGCCCAGCCTGACGCTGGCATGAGCACTATGTTTAGGATCAAGGAGGAATGCGTCAACCGTGAACTAGAGACCTTTCAGAGTTTAGATCATTGGGAAGCGAACCATTTGGTGGAACCGTTTGACCATTGGCGTGAGGAGCTTTGGCCTTGGCTCAGTTTGTGCCATAAGTGGAGGTCGGTTCCGCTCATGCCAAGTGGAGGTGCACCGTTGCAGAAACGAAACGACCACAGCGTTTGGACAGTGACATGTTCCTTTGTCTTTACAGAGCACAGACAACCCAGCCTTCAACTTGATTTGGTTTGTGTTTTGTGCTTCATGAAGCAATGTGGGAACTGAGCCTTCCATCTTTTGGTGTAGCCATGTGTACCCTACATCCTCAGATCTGTTTGCTCCCGGAAACTGGGTCAAACATGGCAGGGCACCACAATTTGTCAGGTGAGGTTGTCATCCATCAGAAGATACTCGGGCAGTGTGGGTGTGTGTGGTCGGACTCTTGGCGAGGTCTTCCTGTTATCCTCTCTAGTTTCTCCCCCAAAAGCCGACGTCGCATCTCAGGATCACCGAGGATTCCACCCACATCTCGCTGGGTGCGGCGCGTCTGGGCATGGTGCAACAAAGAGATGAGCTGATGGAGGAGCTAGAGCTCGACCAGGCCCAGGTTGCTTCATGTTGCTTCGGGCTTCATTCGGTTTGCTTTGGTTGATTGCTTTGGGCTTCGGTTTGCTTTGGTTTCCTTGGGCTCCCTGACGTCGGTTTCCAAGGAAATGTGGTTTCCCTTCAAAGAGAAATGCTACAGGGTGTTCACCCCATTTTGAGAATCCTCCAGATGGGCTTATGGCAAAAGTCGCCTGACATGGGCTTGTCTTAAAACCGGAGAAAAAAAAACAACACCTCCCAAAAAGGGCCGTTTCCCTTCGGCTTCCCTCGAAAATCGCTCAGAGACACCAGGAATCTCTTGCAAGAAGGAGACTCTTTTTGGCCTCGTTAGTTTGAATCATTGAAGGCGTAGAGCAGCTCAGAGCTGGCAGTTTGGGGGGTTGACCCGGGAAGTCTGCTTGAGAGTGCAATTCTGCCTGCCCTGGTTGGGACTTGAAAAAGGATCGGTGAAGGGACACGAAAGGAGACAAAGCCAGTTCCATTTTGAGGCGCCTGTTTGCCTGTCCGAAAGGTTCACAATTCCCTTCGCACGATCCATCAGGCAAAGATGCGGCGGATGATGTCAGCAATTGTACCCTCGACTTCTGGAAAGAGAGCGCACAACCTCTTGCAGAAACTCTCAAGGCAGGGACATTGTCTTATGGCCCCACGGATCACATGTGGACGGTTGTAGAAAAGAGATTGATCAGAAAGGCCGTAGCAAACCAGGCCGACGCCAGTGCCGTATTTAGTGAATGCTGAAATTATGCACGGTCAACCCGTCAACACCCAACGCCGAGAACCTTTGCCTCTTGTTCGCTAGGCACATCTTGTTCAAGTTCGGTGTGATGCTGGCGCCTGTGCTGCAGATCGCTTTCGGATTTCATTTTGCTCGCTCCCAGCTCCCATCTCTCAGGTAATCCTAGCAAACTCCATCTACCTGGGCTTTGATGCTGACGTGCAGGCAAGCGGTGATTCTTGGTCGAATGCGCCCCCAATGACCTGGGTGCCTTGTTTTGTCTTCGGCCTGATTGAGTGGAAAGGCTGTCCAAACTGTGACCCTTCCGACCCTTCCTGCCTTGCCTGGTGCCCCTGTCTCAAAAAGGTTCGCTTTCCGCCAGTCGATGACTAAGAGGTTTCCACTCCCCCAAACTAGATGTTTGATTCCCAAAAATGTGCCATTTGTCCCATCCCGAAGCAAAAGGTAAAACTGACCCACAAAGGTTGAACTTGATGCAAAACGCACGTTGGCAAGTCAACAGGGTTTGAATTTCCAAGTCCGTGCACCCCCGGGTGTATGTTGTCGGTTGTGCTGGAGGTGAAAAACAGCTTCCAGCGCCTGACCGACGAAGGCCAGGAGACACCCCATGGTGTCCTGGACATACTCTTCCCAGCCCCTCGGCAGTTTTGGGGGCCTCCATATGCTTCATTGGGCCGCTGGTTTTGTTCGTATGGCTTGGGACCAGTTTCGGCCAGCCACGAAGTGGGGGCCCGCTGCAAAGACATGAGCGAGGATAGCGGTGGACCTCCAGAAAGGTCTGGCTTCCTCTAGTTTAGCCATCCTCACCACAAACAAGCACACACACCCCACCCGGCTTGACAGTGAGAGAGTGAGAGCTGCTCCGTTCATGAGACTCTGGGACACAACAGTTTGCCTTCTTGGGTTGCTAAGGGAGGGCCACATGCTCCCCTATTGGACAGTCGAAGATTGATGTCAACAGGCATTTTACAGCAGGCGCAGCGGGCACTTTTCGTGCTTTTGGTTTTGGGGAGAGGCCGTGTTGCATGTGCCCAGGCCTTGTTCGTCCTGGAGCTTTGCATCCGAATGGGAGCGGAGAAGTTGCACTTTTTCCAAGGTGAAGAGAGGTGGTGGACGCACGGCCTTACGTTTGCACGTTGCCAGCGACTTGTTCCCCCAAGAATGAGAGGATGTGACCAGTGTGGTTTGACTGATCCGTCAGGAACGTGTTTGACATTGCCGGGCTCTCAGCAACCAGAGATCGATTCGGGTGAGGGTCTTGGAAAGGGCTGGTCTCCATGTTTGCGAGCCACAGCTTCCAGAGGCTGCCATCTCTTGTTCCTGACTTGTGTCGATTGTATTGCCGTGACTTGCCCAGAACCGGTACATGGACCCTCGACCACACAGCACTCATCAGAGGCCTCGCGAGGTAACTGGCTGTTTGGTCAGGTCTTGGTGGCGAACTCCCTGGCGGAGCTGGCTGGGCCCTTGGCGAACTTCAGCTTCCTCCGCATCCTCCGAGTTTTCCGCCCGGCGCCCGGCCGGGCATTGCAGCCTGCGCCTGGTGCAGCTGGGGAGTAGAGCCTTGAACTGAGGCATGGTCAGAATCATTCGCATCGTCCGCAATGTGAAGGGGCTGAAGTCTTTGCGCACCATGGTCTTCGCTTTGATCAACTCCTTCACCTCCTTATTGTGGGCCTTTGCTGCTTGGGCATGCATGTCGAGCCAGCTTCGAGAAACGGGCTGTGTACTGCGTCACCAGACTGTGGCAAAGAGTTCAGTCAAAATAGGACAACGTGATTGGCAGTATCAGAATATGTGTCTTTTGGCTAAGATGGATGTAGCTGATTTTGGGCTTGGTAGGTTAAGAGAGAGGAGGCTTTGCCTCAAACATAGGGGCTTGCTTGGCTTGCTTCTCGATTTTCTGTCAACACAAAACGGAGGGAGGGGGTCCCTCTTTAGGGACAAAGCCATGATGGCAAGCAGCTTCCGGGAGTTGAAAGCAATGTGTCCTGCGGCATCGGCAGCCTGAAGGCATGTCGTGTTCTCGCCAGCACGACTTAAGTCGTGCTGGCAGCAACTTTTATCCACGGAAACTCGTGCCAAGTTCATGATCATCTTGATCATCTTCGTCTTTGGCGTCCTCTTCTGCCACGGAGCTTTTTGGCCCGAGAGGGAGAGAGAGAGAGCATAGAGAGCCAAGACCTGGGTGCCCATGGAAGTGGAGGGGCCTTTCCAAGAGGATGGTCTTGCCCTCTTGATGCTTTTGAGAGACTTCTTCAAGACCAGGTGTTGATGAATGTGGGGTGGTGATTACTTGGACAGATGAAGGCAGAAAAGCTATCTAACACGTATTGGGGTCTTTGGTCCTCCTTGGTCCTCCCCGGACCTTTGCCTCTTCGGTCCCCTCTGTTTGATACTTTCAGCATTGGTTCGGCATTACTCACTGCTTGGTCCTTGCATCGAATTTGTTGATTGGGGTAGTTGAGCAGTGGTTCAGTGTTTCTTTAGCACTGCTCTGTTAGCATGGAGTGCCATGTTTTGCCAATTTCCTTCCCTTCAAAAGCATATGACTCCATATCAAAGACTTTCCCGACCTTTTTCTGCCAGTACAGCATCTCGCCAAGAAGGAGGCCGAACTGCTGGGATCCGGACAGGCTCACTAAGCCCTTACTCGTTTCTACTGGTCATGACGTGTGATGTACGTACGAAGCAACCTGAAGTAACGGTACCTCAGAAAGGGAGTTTCACAGCGAATCCAGGCCAAGCAGCTCCTTACACAGTCGAGGAAAGGTTGGTTTCCTTCCAGTTTGGCGGAGCCGATTCACACAGGAGAGCTCAGAGCAATGGCCGACTAGTAATGCTCTCCGAATTAAGGACCACGAGACCATTGAAGAAAACAGAAGAACATGCAATCAACCCCAAGAAACACTCCAAATAAATCCGAGAAGACGAGCTTAACCAAAGGAAAGTCAAGACCAGTTACAACTTTCGAAATCGCATAACAACTCCTTAGCCTTAGCTTCAGTGTTTTTACATAATATGTTTGCTTGACATCCTAGCCCTAGTCAATTGCACAAGATCAATCCCGGATTCAGCAACTACTCCCGATTCAGAAACTTTAAGGTTCAGAAACTACGATTTAGACACTACGAATCCCGGATTCAGAAACTATGATCTCCGACTCAGAAACTACGATCCCCGATTCAGAAACTACAAATCCCGGACTCAGGAGCTACACATGTGCAGAAAATATGAACGTTGTTGGTTGGTTTAATGTTGGGGCTAGTTTAGGGTCGGTTTATGGTTGGTTTACGGTCGGCTTAGGTTGGTTCAGGGTTGGTTTAGGCTTGGTTCAGGGTTGGTTAAGGGTTATAGGACGTTTCAGGCTTGGTTTAGGGTTGGTTGAGGGTTGGTGCCGGGTTCGTTTAGGGTTCGTTTAGGGTTGGTTTAGGGTACTTTGGGGTTGGTTTAGGATTGGTTTGGGGTTGGCTTAGGGTCGGTTTAGGGTTGGTTTAGGGTCGGTTTAGGGATGGTTTAGGGTTGGTTTCGGCTTGACTTGGGTTGGCTTTGGCTTGTCGGGTTGGTTTTGGGTTGGCTTTAGGGCTGGTGTCGGGTTGGTTTGGTGCCTTGCTGGAGTTTCTTGGGTCGCCGATGACGCTTGTGCTTAGTTCTTGTTCCCTACCCTTGGTCTGGCATGATACGCTTGTTTATCGCCATAACTACATTGCCCCCTATTTTTCCAGGTCAGATAACAGGTTTGGAAACATGTTCTGTGATTGGTCGACATGGCGGAAAAGCCCAGATTTAGGCCCAGAGGTCAGGCTTGTGACTTGGGGCTGGCCCAGGTTGCCGCGCACAACTTGAGCTTGGACCCTGATGACACTATTGGTGTGAAAGAGGCGGCGGTGCCCTGCGTGTGGTCATGTTTTCCTGTGCTCCTGCTTTTGGGGCGCATGAAACTGCTGACGCGTGAAGTGTTTTTTTTTGGGGGTGTTGATTATGCCGGCAGGCAGCAAGCATGCAGACTTCTGTGTTTGTTTGTTTGTTTGTTTGTTTGTTTGTTTGTTTGTTTGTTTGTTTGTTGCTTCAGCACACTTGGTTGAAGATGCGATGTTCAAATTGAAGGCTGCAACATTGGTTGCATTGTTATTGCTCTAATGGCCTGCATGGGGTTGATCCCAATGAAAACCTTGTTCGTTGTCATGCTTGCATCTACTTCGCAACCGCAACTTTTCAGCACACCCGTGCGAGCCTCTGAGAGGATCTGCGGGGTCGACGTGCGAAAACTGGAAACTGTTGATACTTCTTGGTGCTTGCAGACGAATGTTTGGAAGCTGGCTCGTTGTTTGCAAGAAGCTTGCACAAAGAGCTTGCACGGAGAAGCTTGCGCCGCGAACTTGCACAGAGAAGCTTGCGTGGAGAACGTGCGCGGACAAACTTGCATCTAGAATCTAGAAACGCGCGCAGGGATATTGCACAGAGAATTTGCGCAGATAAACTTGCAGGAAAGATTTGCGCAGAAAAACTTGCGTCGATAGCTATCGCAGACAAGCTTGCGTATAGAAGCTTGCACGGGGAAATTGCACAGAGAACTTGCACAGAGAAACTTGCACAGAGCACTCGTAGCATGCAGATCTTAACGAAGAGAAGACTTGCGTGCACAGATTGCGCGGAAAACTTGCCCGCTGTTGGTGCGTGGTTTTCATGCCCCAGTTTTTGCGGTTTCGCTTTGCTTTGCAGTAGCGGCGGAGATGGCCGCAAGACACGACAAACAGAACGCTGTCACAGAGAAGCTTGCACAGCGAAATTTATGCCGAGAAAGTTTGCACAAAGAACTTGCACAGGGAACCTTGCACAGAGTAAGGCTTCTGATTAAAAGGCGGCCTGGCGCGGCCTACATGTTTTCGGGCCACCCGTCCCCTAGCTTAAAGAAAGCCAGAGGGAAAGCCCTGACCGCAGGCCCTGGATTCTCAGTGGGCATTTGGAAGCCTTTGGGAGACTAGCATTAGCCTCTTCAGTGGGGGCCTCAAATCTGCGGCCGGAACTGTTGCTAGCTTTTTGAATCAAGCAGGCAGAGTGCAGAGATTCCTAGGCGCCGTCTCTGGCGGCAATGACTGGCTTGTGTATGGCTCACAGCTCAGGCTGGAGAGACACAATTTCGAGGGTTGTCTTGGCTTTACGACGGGAATTGTAAGCTGGCAACATGGTCCTATGACACCTTCCGGGGTTACAGCCGCCACGTGCTTTCTGCCTCTCGTGACAGGCGCCTCAAGCCGACAGATGACAGCTTGGTGGGAGAGTTTTACTTCATCACCTTCTGCTTCTATGCGGCTTTGGCGTGGGATCATGATCAGCTTGGGGGGTTGCCTTGGCAGGGTCTGCCTTTGGAGCCTGGCTTACCTCCGGAGGTTTCAGTTGCAGTGAGCGGCTGACTTGCCAAGGTGGCATTTTGCACCATTGGCATGTTGAATGCTGGAGTCTTAGATCACTCGACGAGGCTTTGTCCTTGACGCATGGTCATGCTGTAAAGCGAGTGCATCGAGACCTGGCGGAGACTCTCTTCATAAGTTAATGTGTATTGTGAGGTGGTAACGGGCATTTTTGTCGACAGCGCCGTGACAACAAGAACGGAAGACGAGGTGGTCGATGCGTTCAAGGACACGCCCCAGTTGTTTGGCTGCCATTTGGTTGCACTCTCTTTGCTAGCTGTTTTGCTTCTTTTAGAAGCCAGGCCTGAGGCATAGGCCAGCAACTTGCCAGGAGCAGATGAACTTGCGGCGTCAGGAAGTGCGTAGAATCTTTACCGAGGCGCGGTCGCGGGGTAAGATGCTGGAACGGAGTGTCGCTAGAGACCGCGCCCAGCCCGATCTGTTTGCTTGTTCCAAAACGGGGCCGGGCATGAAGATGTTGAGGAAGGCGCAAGGGGTCCCGCGGTCAGAAGGCCCAACTGTGGCTCTTGTGCTGCGCGTTTCATCGTTTCATGCCTTGTTTTCCTTTCGAACGCTGGTTGGGAGCGATGCAGGCTGATGTGGATGGAGTAGGTTCCCTGACCTTTGAGCAGCTCAAGGACGGACTGCGCGGTTTTGGGTCGCCGCCGTCTCCGTCTTAGGAATCTTGAGGGCCAGGGCCTGAAGCGTTGACACGCGCAGCCTCAGTTCAGGTTTAAAAAGCCACGCAGAGCATCCAGACGGGTTTGTTGCAAGCACGTCACTTCCTTTGCATCTTTGGGGGAAGCCACATTGCGACCTTGCAATGGCATTCCGAGTTTCACTTGGGTGTCTTTATATGAGGCTACCCTGTTTTTGGCGGCTTTCAATGAAGCCCACCCATTTTGAGGGTCCCCCCAAAATACACAGATTCATTTGGAGTAGTTTCTTTCTTGCACACTTCCAACCTGCTGTTAGGAGCAGTTCGACCACCCCTGGGTCAAGGCTTGGACTGGGGGCAATATTTTGGCTGTTTTTTTTGGTGCCTGCCCCCTTGGCATTTTTGGAGTGATCGCCCCAGGCGTATTTTTCTGGGCTTGACATTGATCCCAACGAGGCGTGCGGGTGGGAGTTGTTTTCCCTTTTGCGATTGCGGGATTCAGCAAATGGGAGGCTGCCATCATTTTCACCCTCATGGCGGTTGCCTCAGGTTCAGACTCAGCCAAATTGGCTCTGCTTTAGCCAAGGATGCGGATCACAACGGACGAGTCGCCAGTATGCAAGTAACACACATTCCGGTAACATCAGCTACAGGCAACGCCTCAGATGCCCGGCCTTGCATTTCAGGTTACTATCGAGGAGTTCATTGAGGGCACCATGAAGTTGAAAGGATCAGCCAAGAGCCACTCGGTGAACTTTGTTGGACTCCCTCAATTGTGGCCAACCACATGAACGGACATGAACGGGGGACCAAGCGATTTTTCCTCAAAACCACGAGGCGGTTTTTCGACCCAGTTCGCATTTTTCGCCTGTTGGTTGGGTCCAAAGAAACTGGTTGAGTGGAACCAAGTCTCAACGTCAGGGTGTCTGAACTCTCCATGTCTGAGGTGTGGACATGCTCCTTTTGATGCCTCTAGCCTGCAAGAGTCTAGGCTCTGGTGGACCTTGGTATAAGGAAGACCTGGAGATCCCACATTCCTTTCAGTGTCTTTTTTGGAAGTTTCTGAACTTCACTCGCCAACAATTTTCTATCACCCATTGAAGCCTCTGAGGCTAAGTGGTAGACAACCGACATACTACTCACTTGCCCAAAGCCGACCTTTTGACGTTTTGGTTTCCCTATTGGACCATTTTTAAGTTTTGGCCCCAAAAGGTTAGCCTTTATTTCTGGGTCTTTGGGCAACCGAAATAATATTGATTCTGAGACCGACGACTGGAAGCATCTCCCAAGTGCCTCGTGCGAAACAAGGGTGAGAGGAGAGGCATGCCCCAACCTTTCTTTCTTGATTTCCCCACGTAAAGAGTAAAGGCAAACAAAATGGAATATAATAGCTGGCATGGAATCTAGTGCAACTACGCAAAAGGACAGCATACCTGTGTGCCACTTGTGTTCCCTCGAATAAGGATCTCCTTGGTGATGGTTGTAAAGAGACACCTAAAGGCCACTACAACCATTCGTGGTGGGTCCCTTTGAACTTGACACTGTCCAAGGTTTGACCAAGTGAGGCCGGGATGTGGTGCTGACTGCATGTCGGAAGTGGTGAGCCATCGTGCTGATTGAAACCCGAGAAGCAGCCTGGCCAGGTTTCAGCTGAAGTTCAACAATCTGTGTTCCTTCCTAGAGGCCGCCCTTGCGCGAGTGCATGCAATTGTTGAAGCTGGGGCTTTGATTTGAAGAGCTGGGGGTTTGATTCCCAAAAGGCTGATTTTTAGTTTGAGCATCGCGGCGTTTTGCTCGGTTGGTTGCACAGGCAGGGAACCCCGATATACCCAAAGGTTACGCGGAAATTCCAAACTTGTTACGGCAGGACGAGATAAAGACAATCAAGACCGTCCTGCTTCCAGGACATCCATGTGGAGTGAGTTGGTGATCTTCATGTCAGAGACATCCTTATGGTTTCTGAGGGGAATGCGGTGCGTGTCGCAGTGCAAACACATCGGTGCATGGCGGTGTGGAAGAATTATGCGGCCCTCCAAATTAAAGCACTCGGAATAATTGAGCAAACCGTATAGCATTGGAGGCGAGGGCTTTCATCCAGTCCAACATGCATTTGATAGAATGAGTGAAGTTGGCAGGGCGGAAGCGAGCTACAGCCAAACCAGTGCAATCCAATGTCATGCCCACCACTTTGCCAAAAATGCCCAAGAGGAGCCCTTGGTGTCCATCCATGGCTTCCAGAAAGTTCGGCAGGACAACAACCTGTAAAGAAGCTCTTCGAGCACCAAGATGTTCCCCACCACGACATGGGCCACCTGTCCAACGCGTCCCAGGCCTGGCACGAAACTCTGTGGGGCTGTTCCTTGCCTCTTGAAACACCTAAAAGTGTGAATGCCGGCTTGTGACATTGACTCCGTCTGAAAATGGACAGCTGCCCACAAGTGGGATTCACCCAATGAGTTTCCAACAATTACGGAGAAGGTTTTTTTTTAAGTCTTGCAAAATCCGCTGGTTCACTTCCAGGTTTATTAGAAAGGGTACGATTCGTAGCACCCAACCCTTGATTGGGGCGCAACCTCCGAACCACAAAGGCGAGATGTCCGTTAAACCACATGGACCCAGTTTGCTTTCGGCAGGCCATTCCCTCTGGCGGCGAACCTTCAGAGCTGAAACCTGAGAACGAGGCCAAATTTCCTTGATATGAAGGCCACCTCCCAAGGAGCGGCCTTCAAATTTTATTAACTTATGATCCTGCGAAAACTGAATTCCCGGTTGGCAAAACAATTGATTCTTAATAATAGACATGATTTTGGATGGCTTGGGCTAATTAGATCCGCCCTAGGACAGTGGGGGGGAGATTGGTGTTTGAGGAAAAGAAGAACACATTTAGATATAATAAATAAAATAGAGATTGATACTTTTGTTTTGTATTTTTTTTGGGGGGGGGTTAATTGGATATATTAAATGGTTATTTATGTTTTTTGGAGGAGTATATATATATATATATGTTTTTTTTAAATGATTTTTGTTTATTTGTTTTTTAATATAATAAATATATATGTATATTATGTTAATTTAAAATTTATTATTTGATATAATTGGAATTTATAATATATTTGAAATGAATAAATAATTTATATATGTAGTTTTTAATAATTTGATATGGTTTTGGGATTATATTTTTATATATTATAGAATTATTTTAATGATATATTGGTCGAATTATTATATATAAAATGAATGATAATATTATATTATATAGAACATATTTTGATTTAATTAAATATTTGGTTTTTTGAATTTATTACTTATATATATATATTGTTATTGTTTTAAGAAATTATTATTATATTTATTTATTTAGTGTTTATTTGTTATTGATTATTTGTTTGATATTATTTATTTGATGGGTTTATATTGTTATTATTATTATGTTTTTTGTGTTATTTGTTTTATTGTTTTTTATTATTGTATTTACATAATATTATTTATTTTTATTTATATAATTAATTAAATTTTAGTTTTATTTTTATTTAGCTTTATGTATATTTATGTATTTCTTGTATATTTATTTATTTTTATATATTTATTTTTAATTATTTATTTTTATTTATATATTTGTATTTTGTGATTGTTTTTTAATTTATTTGTATTTATTTGAATATATATTTTTATTTAGCTTTATGTATATTTATATATTTCTTGTGTATGTATTTATTTTTATATATGTATTTTTAATTATTTATTTTTATTTATATATTTGTATTTTGTTTTTTTTTAATTTATTTGTATTTATTTGAATATCTATTTTTATTTATCTATTTGTTTACTTGTTTTATTTTAGATTTATTTATTCTTATTTGTTCCTGCTGATTTTTATTTGTTCTTATTTGTTTTATTTACTCTGATTTACGCTTTTTATTTTTGCTTACTCCTTCTTATTTTAACTTATTCCGACTTACTTATTTATTTATTCCTACTTATTTTTATTTATTCTTATTTATTCCTATTTACTCCTTACTTAATCCTATTTGCTCCTATTTATTCCTACTTCTACTAACTCCCATTTGTTTTCCCGAAACCATGGCGAAGGGTTCTTCCGCTGGGTTCACTTGAGTTGTTCTCATGAGAGTCATTACAAGGTATCATTGCAAGGAATCAGCATCATGAAAGTCATTGCAAGGAGTCATTGCAAGGAATCATCATTATGAAAGTTATTGCAAGGAGTTATTATAAGGAATCATTACAAGGAGTCATTGCAAGGAGTTATTGCAAGGAGTTATTGCAAGGAGTCATGGCAAGGAGTCATTGTAAGGAGTCATGGTAAGGAGTCATGACAAGGAGTTATTGTAAGGAGTTATAGCAAGGAATCAAGTGCAAGGAGTCATAGCAAGGAATTATTGCAAGGAGTCATTGAAGGGGGTCATTGCAAGGAGTCATTGTAAGGAGTCATTGCAAGGAGTTATTGCAAGGAGTCTTGGTAAGGATTGTAATTTATACTTGACTCCTTGCAATTGCAACTTGCACTTGACTCCATGCACTTGCAACTTGCACTTGACTCCATGCATTTGCAACTTGCATTTGACTCCATGCACTTGGCTCCTTGCACTTGCAACTTGCACTTAACTCCGTGCACTCCCGCATGTCATTGCACGGTGCTCGTCCAGGCACACAAGAAACTGCGCGTAGCGAGTTTCACTTGCCATGGCGCTAGCGCAGGAAGTGGAGAGTCCCGAAGGACAAATTGTTTTAGCTCTTGACTTCGTTGTTGCTAAAAAATAATACTAACCAATTGTAATCACAAGGACAAATATAAAAAATAAACTCAGGGGATATCCCCAACAGCACCACACCCGCCCCGGGACCCACCTCATCGCCGGCTTTGCTGAGGATGCGGCCTTACAAGTGTATCTAGCAAAATTAGGCGATACGGCTTGGTAGTTGATGGGGCCCGATCAGGGCCCGACAGCGCAATCGGGGCCCGATCGGGCCCCGACAGTGCAATCGGGCCTCGACCTGCCCGACTGGGCCCGGTGAACCTTGCAGACCGTTTTCGTGGAACCCTCGTGGGCTCAGCATGAAACTTTGTTGGAACCTTTCTTCAGGGCAGCCCTATAGCTTTTGCAGAACCTGGTGGAAACCTCGTGGAGCGCTTTTAGAATTTTATTCCGTAGCCCTCGCAGCCTCGCGGAACGCTTGGAACCCAAAGCCCACCAAGTAGTACTCAGTAGTGCTAAGCATTTACTCTGCTACACAGTGAATTTGCCACAAAGCCAACGCGTTGCCTAAGCAAGTGAGCAAGTGACAAAACAGTAAAATTGTGCTCAAAACAATTGATTTCGATTTTGCTTAGTGTTCCGCTCATAAGCAAAACGATTTTCAATTTACTGCTCCGATGGCTTCGTAGAACCTAGTGGAATCTTCGTGGAACCTTGCCTCAAGCCACCCCGGACCACCCCGCAGCCCTCGCTGAACCTGGTGGAACTCTGGTAGAACTCTCGTGGAACCTTTACCTCCCGGCATCCCCGTACCCCGTACCCTATCTAAGCTCAGACCCCAACGCTTTCAGCTATTGGGGAAAAAGACATGTTCAATGATTGATTGCTTGTATTAGGAGGTGAGACGACTGTCTGCGCCTGTGTATGTGTATGTGTGTATGTGCGAATAAAAGAACTAGTTGTAACCAATGCTCAAGACACCATTAAGGCCTATAAGTGAATCAAAGAAACGGCGGCGGTAAATGCATTAGCGACAATTATTTACGGTATCCAAATAATATCTATCAAATTATCATTCTATTCATCGATCTATCTATCTTTCAATTTTTCTATTTATCCACTAATTTTTATGTTTATATATTTGCTTACTTATTTATCTAACTAACTATTTTTGTATTTATCTATCTATCTACCTATCTACTTCTATTTTCTCTATCTTTCATCTATCTATTTATCCGTCTATCTCTCTATCTATTTATCTACCTCTTTTATTTATATTTCCATCTCTCTCTCTCTCTATCTATCGATTTCTCTTCCTATCTAGCTATCTACCTATCTATCTATCCATCCATCTATATATCCATATATATATATATATATATTCGTAATTAATTAATATTTCTGTTTGCGGAAACCGCTATATTCGTGTTTGCAAACACGATAGCCGAAATTCACTTGCGTGAAATACGTAGTGTCAAGTGCAGGCAGTCGCCGTCATTCGTCATTGCCATTTGGGGTTGCCGGCGATGTGAGGAACTTTACAACGAGCTCCCTAGCTTTTCGCCGGTCTTTCGCGGATCTTTCGCGAAACTTGCTCCAAAATAGCCCAGCTAACGTTATTGATTTGCACTAATCCTAACACAAGCAAGGAATCAATAATGTAGGTGTTGCACATCTCCCTCTCGAAAAAGCAGCGGGGTCTACAAATGTGTAAATGTACAGGCAAGCCTCCAAGAATTCAATGCGGAATCTTTTGCGAAAAAAAATATTTTTCGTGCACTCTATCGCCGATCTTTCATGGAGGGATTTAAACCAAGACGAATAATCACCGAATACATCACTCCTTACAAGGACCTTTTAATCATCCCCTATATATTTAACTCCCTATTTATTTATCTATCTACCTACCTATTTTCTCTATCTTTCATCTATCTATCCATCCATCTATCTCTCTATCTATCTATCTATTTACCTCTTATATCTATATTTCCATTTATCTATCTCTCTCTCTCTCTATTTATTTATCTGTCGATCTCTCTTTCTATCCATCTAGCTATCTATCTCTCTGTTTTGTGTTCTCTATCTTTCTCTATCTATCTATTTATCTAATCGTCTATCTATCTACGCATCTATCTATTTCCCTCTGTTTAATTATCTAATCTATCGATCTATCTATCTATTTATCCAGCGATCTATACCTAAACTAGCGAAAATGCTGTGCCTACCACGAAATCTATATTTGACCTTGCGAAAGTGTTGTGCCTGCAACGAATTTGGCATTTGACTTTGCGAAAGTGCTGCGCCTGCCACGAAATCTGTACTTAACCTTGCGAAAATGCTGCGCCTGCCACGAAATCTGTTGTGCTGCGCTTGCCACGCAATTCAAACCTTGAGAAAAATTGACCTTGCTACGCCTGCCACTCAAAATGCTGCGCCTCATACCAATGGGCCCGGCGCCGACCCCGCTCCGCGTACAGACTAACTTTCGCGTCTCCAAAGACGATTCAAGGCCATATTTTTTACGACTATCTCTTCCCCTACTACACGCACGCACAATTTTCCTCGTGGAGGTTATTCCTTTTCTTATTATTTATCTAAGAGAATTAGCTTTCAATTAATTATCATAACACAAAAAAAAAAAACACCCTTCTAAATTTCCTTTAATTACATAAAATCAAAATATAAAAAATAATAACATAATATAAACATAAAAAAGAACATAAATAAACAAAAAAAAACACAATAATATTATAAAATCAAAATAATAAATAAAATAAAAAACATAATTAACCCTTAAACATTTATTCAAATTATTTTAATAATGCATTAATTTAATTTAAACACAACTACATAATTATATATTTTAAAATTATGAATATTAAAACAAGAAACAAATATAATTCAATATTTTTAACAACGATCTTTAATAAGAATAAGATACAAAATTAAATAAATAAAGGTAAACAATTTTATTTATTAATTTTTCCTTCGTATTTAAAATTATGTTTTATATTAATTAAACATACCACTACCTTTATATAGTTGTTGTTCCTTTCTTATACTTATCATTTTTCAAAATCTTTCTATCTAATTTTATTAATATTGAGGAAAAAAAAATAAAAATATAATTTTATTAATATTAAAAAATCAATTCATTGCCGGAAACATTTTGAAGGGGAGGGATTTTATATATTCACCAATTTATATATATATATATATCTCGAAATTGATGGTTTTGTTCTGGATGGCCTCATTATTCAGTGTCGAGGGGCCGAGTTGTTCGGAACCCAGACCTCAAGCGATTCTCTCTGTCTCATATTTGTGCTGCATGATGGCCAGAGCACATCTTCCAAATTCTGAGAGCACTGCTCTGAAGATGAGTCCTAGCAGGGCGCTGGTTAAATGGTTTGAGTTCTTGTCAGCTTGCGCCTGTGCTAGAGCTACCACGACGTCATGACCTGGTGTGCTGTTGCAAACAGATTCCAAGGAACTGAGCAAAACGGGCTGCACCATCTGCACCCAAAGAACTCAGGCAAGGACTTTCGCCACTTGCCTAAAGTGTTGCACGCTTTCACTAGTCACTGCAAGCTGAGTACTGGCCTCTTCCTCACTCTCTTCCTGCAATGGGCAAAACTATTGAGTGCAATCGCTCGTATTGCTGGGACATGCACCTCCTCATAGCTTTCATATGAGTAGTCATCATCATCCTTACCTGAGACAACACGCGGCTTGCACACCTTTGCTTCAGAGAGCATCCGCGAAAGGAACACAAAAACCATCGAGGCTCGAACTCGCGGCAGGGATCTTTTTCACCTTGCTTCTGAATGTGCTCAGCACCGAGAAAACGAAAGCATAAGCTCACCCCCAAGTTCTATCACCAAAACTCGGCAGCTGACGTCTGGAACTTGCTGGACATGAAAAGTCGGCAATTTGGAAGTCGATGATGCAAACTGGTCAGATGCACGGGGTGCTTGTGAAGAATAGCGTCCAATAGGCTCGATTTCTTCCACAGCGATACTGCTCTCTCCGCTGCTGCCATGACTGAGGGTTCGTTGCAGGTCTGCCTGCGCGCTGGAAAGGCCGTGTTGCTGCTGTGGCACAGGGTCTGCAGTGTGTGTGACGTGTGCTACTCGTGAGAAAGGCTCAGTGGCAGCTTCCGGCACAAATCGCTCATGTGCAACAGACTCGATTTCTTCCACAGCGATACTGCTCTCTCCGCTGCTGCCTTCACTGACCGTCCGTTGCAGGTCTGCCGGCGCGCTGGAAAGGCCTTGTTGCTGCTGTGGCACAGGGGCTGCAGTCTTTGTGACATGTGCTACTCGCAAGGAAGGCTCAGCGGCAGCTTCCGGCACAAATCGCTCATGTGCAACAGACTCGATTTCTTCCACAGCGATACTGCTCTCTCCGCTGCTGCCGTGACTGACGGTCCGTTGCAGGTCTGCCTTCGTGCTGGAAAGGCCTTGTTGCTGCTGTGGCAGAGGGGCTGCAGTGTGTGTGACGTGTGCTGCTCGCAAGGAAGGCTCAGCGACAACTTCCGGCACAGATTGTTCATGTGCAACGGACTCGATTTCTTCCACAGCGATACTGCTATCTCCGCTGCTGCCGTGACTGACGGTCCGTTGCAGGTGTGCCTTCGCGCTGAAAAGGCCTTGTTGCTGCTGTGGCACAGGGGCTGCAGTCTTTGTGACATGTGCTACTCGCAAGGAAGGCTCAGCGGCAGCTTCCGGCACAAATCGCTCATGTGCAACAGACTCGATTTCTTCCACAGCGATACTGCTCTCTCCGCTGCTGCCATGACTGAGGGTCCGTTGCAGGTCTGCCTGCGCGCTGGAAAGGCCGTGTTGCTGCTGTGGCACAGGGTCTGCAGTGTTTGTGACGTGTGCTACTCGTGAGAAAGGCTCAGTGGCAGCTTCCGGCACAAATCGCTCATGTGCAACAGACTCGATTTCCACGGCGATACTGCTCTCTCCGCTGCTGCCGTGACTGACGGTCCGTTGCAGGTCTGCCTGCGCGATGGAAAGGCCGTGTTGCTGCTGTGGCACATGGGCCGCAGTGTTTGTGACATGTTGTGCTAGCAAGGAAGCAGCTTCCGGCACAGATTGTTCATGTGCAACAGACTCTATGTTTTCCACAAGAATACTGCTCTCTCCGCTGCTGGCGTGACTGACCGTGTGTTGCAGGTCTGTCTGCGTGCTGGAAAGGGCTTGTTGCTGCTGTGGCACAGGGTCTGCAGTGGTCGCGTCGCGTGTTATCAGCAAGGAAGGCTCAGCGGCAGCTTCCGGCACAAATGGTTCCTCAACAGACTCAACTTCAATTTGTTCCACAATGCTGCTCTCTTTGCTACTGGCTTGCGAGCTGCTAGGGTCTTGGTGCTGCTTTGGCACCAGGTCTGCAGTGTTTGTGAAATGTGCTGCCAGCAAGGACGGCTCAGCGGCTGCTTCCTGCACTTTTTGTGCATCTGCAGTCTCAACTTCTTCCGCAGCAACGCTGCTTTTTCTGCTGCCGCTGGAAAGGTGTGGCTGTGGCTTCGGGTCTTGGGCCTCCTCTTTGGCGTTCTCTGGAGTGGCAGCATCTATTTGTGCGCCTCCCTTGAGTTTTTCCGCCGAGTCTGTGCAGTTCTGACCCTCTGCAAGAGGCACAGTGTCCTCAAAGCAACGATACGCTTCGCCGAACTCCAATGTATCAAGGGCACCTGCCTCATAACTGTGAACGCCGACCTCCGAGCCCCCTAATTTCTGCCGGGAGGCGTTGCTTCTCAAATCCTCCCTGAGGCCTCCCAAGATATCGTCCCACGGATCCTGGCAGAGAATCTTCCACTCCCAAGGCCGAACTTTTTGGGGGTTACCAGGAAGTTGATTTTCCCAAGTGGGTTGAGCTAACCAAACTTGAATCTTGCGGAAGCTGCAAACACCATGCCTCCGCCGGCTTCACCTGGCGTCGTTGGAACACACACCCACACACGAATTTCTTGGGGTTTAAAGGATGGATGGATGGATGGATGGATGGATGGATGGATGGATGGATGGATGGATGGGTGGGTGGGTGGATGAATGGATGGCAGCCTTGCCCACCCCAACTCTTAGTGCTTCATTGACCCCTTTCTTCTGGCCTGGCTCTCCAATGGCAACTCAAGGTCCTTTGCTTCGCCCGGCGGCTGAGACAGGTACGGGTCCTGGCGAGCACAAGCTGTGGGGCAGCCACCATGCTCCGAAAACACGCGCTCTTCTCACCGGTAGTTGCCCTTAGCAAACGAGGCAAACAAAAATCGTGCCCGAGCAAGGGACATGGGGCCATCGAGCCTAAAGCAGTCTGGCGGCGTGGTTGAAGCTAAGCTCCCGTTGGGTGGCACATAGCACGGCACCTGGAATATGAAAATGGCGAGACTGCCTGCGGGATCGTACAAACAATCAACAGGCATATCCGCCGACCCCTTCTTCCCAAAAGGGGAGGCGCCTGGGAAGGGTGGGGTAGGACGTGCATAAGGATGCTGGTAATGTTGCTTAGTAGTGTTGCCTATGTAGCTTTATTTGCCCTTCCTTCTAGGGCTCGATTCCACGCTCAAGACGTGGCATTCCGAAGACTGAAGTAGATCCTGTGCTGCTCGCTGCCTAATCTGGTCACTCCAAAACGGCCCTCCATACTGCTGACTTCCACACTGCAAGACTGGGCAAGACTGGGCTGGAATTTGGAGCCTAGGGTCAGAATGCAGACGTTGTCCTTAAACATTTGTTTCGGAATCCAATAGCGGTATCGAGGCCCACTTGAGAAAATCGAGTGATGAACGGGCAGGCTGCGCTGAGCGGCAGCCCCTGAATTGTTTTGTGCGTTTGCGGACAGAATTTTCTTGACATGAGCCCGGTCGCCAAACAACTGCAGGCAATGTCACCCATGCTCTGATTTCGCCATATTTCGCTCGGCTCTTGTCCTCCACTTGCTGGGGCAGCGGGATGCCTTCTGGAGGCCTCAGTTGAAGCCACTAAACCTGCACGCCTTGAGCAGCGGTCATGGCAGCTTTTGAAGGCACAACAGCCAGATGCGCGACATGCTTGGGGAAAGAAACTATATAATACGATCCAATATGGGACCACCCAAATTGATCAAAGGAAGTTTAGAAGGAACTTCCGCGGTACGGCAAGTAGTTGGAAGCGAGCTCTCTGAGACAGATGACAAGAGAAGATTAAGCACGCGAGACAAAATGTGTGAGCTTGTGGCGGGGGAATCGACATGTTCAAACAGTGCAACCCTCTGCGGATTTTGCAGCGCCAGGTTGAGCGATCCCACGTTCGGACCACGTTGACGTTCCGCCAACTTGCGTCGCAATTTGCAAATCGTCGGGTGCAAATTTAGTGGCAGGCGCAGTGCTTTCCTCGTGTGCAGATTTCGTGGCAGTACTTTCGTAAGGAAGTGCAGATTTCGTGGCAGGCGCAGTACTTTTGCAATCAGATTGCGTGGCGGGCGGCAATTTCGCAAGGTCGAGAAATAGATAGATCGATCGATCGATAGATAGATTGATAGGTAATTAGGTAGGTAGGTAGGTGGATAAAAGGGTAGATGGGGGGCGTGTGCAAAAGATAGATAGAGTGGATCAATGGATAGGTAGATAGATACATTGGATAGGTAGATAGGTAGGTAGGTATGTAGCTAGGTCCAGGTAGCCTAGGCAGGCGTGCGTAGCTGTAGTTGGATGGAGGGAGATGACAAATAGCAAAAAGAGAAACATAAAGAAGACAAGAAGGATACGACAACTATGTCTTCTTCTTCTTCTTCTTCTTCTTCTTCTTTTGTTTCCTTCTTTTAGAACAACTCCGCCCGCCAGCCGCGCCGGAGCCACCGGCACCCAAGTAGTTGTGTCTGTTGCTTCGCTGTGCTTTTTTTGCGTGGCAAACCGCCCAAGCGATTTGCATGGCCCGTCACTGGCCGAGCTGCGCTGAGCTAGGCAGGCTCAAAGTGGAGGATTGCCTGAGGCAGACGCGAACAAGGCAAGCCTTGAACAAACACAATTCGGAGGATGCTCAAACGCCTTTCATGGATCATGGCGTCCCATGTCAGCCTTCCCTTGAGGCGGAACCAAAGAACTCTCCTTCCGTCTTTTTGGAACATCCACGCACAGCTCAATGCCAATAAGGTCGCCTAAGATTAGTCGCAATGCGGATCGAATCCCAGGCCTGCGAAATAACGATGCCGACGCTGAAGCCTCACACGCACACGAGCTTGCAAAGCTCCTGGTAGGTGAACAGTCCCACTGATATTCAAAGAACCACATCTGCGTCCCAACAGAAGCCCAGTATCAAAGAACGAGACCAAATCCAAACAGGAAGCGGCTGTATCGATTCATGGTTGATGTTGCTCCCTGTCTCCCGTGTGGACCAGCACAAACTAAAACACTGTTCGAATGCTTCGTGTTGGAGACAACTTCTTCCCAGCCCTTCCTTCATTCAGAGACTACTCTTCCCGAGATGTTCCATTGATGTAGTACTAGGTCCATCAAAAATGACATCAATAATATTCTTACCATCTAAAAGGTGTTTAAAGGGACACCACCCAAGTAATTGGTTTGGAGTTCACTTGAACGGACCGATGGGTGAGACTTCCCCCTCCGGAGAGACTGTTTTGCTGTAAAGAAACCTCAAGCCTTTGATGGCTCCAGGCCTAAAGTTTGTCGGTCTTGGCATTGGAAGCTGGCTGAAACCATTGACTTTGGGATTCAGCTCGCTGTGTCTCTTGTTAGCAGGGGCATTACAGCTGAAGGGCTGGTTCTGTTTGAAACAATATTTGCCGGGAGGGAAGTTTTGACATTGGCGCTGGCAAAAATGGTCTAAGTCGGCCCGCTTGACATTTACAGATTGCCCAAAGACAGCAGAAACTGTCCCCTGACCTCGAATTACCCACATAGGTTTGCATGAAATTTATCCGGACCCCCCAACTTCCATGCGCCTGCATGCAGGCATGTGTTGGGGCGGTGCTCGATATCACAAAATACATTACCAGCAAGAATTGATGCGACTTGGGGGGAGGATTCTGATTATGTATATATTATATTATACTATACACACTCAAAATGGTTTTCCCTCCCCTCAACCTAAACAGAAAACCCCAACACACGCACAAGTCTGATTTTGCTTCACCATTGGTGACCCCTGAGCTCGACACATCTGGCATGAAGACCAGCTTACCTCGACTCGAAAGGGATATCCAAAGGCCTTCCGAGCGGTCAAACCAACTTTCCTCGTGCCTTTGACCAGAAAATGGATTCATGATGATTCATGGCCCATCTTTCGTCCTGGGGACCAGGCTTTGCGTGCTGAAGCCATCTCAGGCTGCGGCGCGGCGTGCCGACTTTTGGGCTCCTGTGCGTTGCCCAGTTGCCCTTCGACCTTGCCTTGACATTTCCCTCTGCCCGTGTCATTCAAAAGGGCGGCCGCAAAGCACACAACACATCATGCACACTCAAGGATCTGGTCCCTGGATCGTTGGGTCGGAAATGCACATAGCATCGTTGCATGCTTATAGTCTTGACGCATCATGAAAACCACCGTGCTGCTTTTCTGGTCCAATTATTCTACAAGTCGAGAGTTGACGATATGGTGATCCTTTTCGAGAATCATCCCTCTAGAGGCGGCGTCACAGCATGTCGAGTGGGCCCAACGCCCGCGTGAGGTGGCCTGTTGTGCCGGGGCGAAGACCGCAGTGCCACAGGATCCTGAAAGCCTCAGAGTCGGGGAGCGAGTCTTGCTTGCCGGGCGGGGTGGCTTGTCTCCAGACTCTAAACCCATTGGACTGCTAGAGTGAAGTACTCAGCTCCACGCCCACTGAGGTCGGGCTCATGGCAACCTCGAAAGGTTCGGATGGTGATGTTCTGCTAAGCCGTGGCTCACCGGCTTTTTTGCAGGGCATGGGGCCCGAGAACCTTCTTACGGTGAGGGCTGTGTTGGGGGGCTGACGGGGTGTGACAGAAGGCAAGCATGAGTTCTACAACATCCTGACTCACTTCAGCCAGCCCTACTGCTGGCACGAACCATCCCTCAGAGAACCCAAGCCGATTCACAACTTGTGTGAAAGATCCAGCTTGACAGCCCCGTATCATCCCTCAGCCCAGCAGAAGCTATCCCGAAACCTAGCTATCCCGAACCCATGTTGAAACCAGCCCAAGCCTGCCCCAACAAAGCGCTGTATAACCTAGCCGAGAAATTAGCCCGTCGGCTCCAACACAACCCAACCGAAAGTTCGCTTTCCTGTTCGGTTCCTTCACCCATGAATCGGGCCTGGTTTCATTTGGGCAAACCCACCCAAAAAAAACTTCTCGGCTCCGTACTTTTTGATACCGTGATCTCGGCAACATTCTTGGCCAAAGAGCCAGTCCAAACTCAAAAAACAAAACACTGCAAGTGCGTTCGGCCTTGATAGCCCAGCAACCAGCCTCCGTGGGCGTTGCTGTCGGTGTCAAGGCCTTGGGCCTGATTTTGCAGACTTGGACAATATCTCCCTCTGACTAAATGGAAGCGCCCTGCAAAGTGGCCCGAGTGGTGTCATTCTGATCACATGGAATGTCAAGGAGCTGATTCTTTGGGGTCATTGCGACCAACCAGGTAACGAAAAAGCAATCGACCTTGGCACCTCTCAACAGGGCCATCTGGGGCAGGCGCTCAGGCGTCGACGTCGGCTTCGCCGCCTCGGACCCCTCGCAGAGCCCCGAGCCCGGAGCCCAAGAAACGCGGGGTCTAAAGCGCCCAAACATGGACAGCCCTCACTCCCCAACTTCACTCACCTGCGAAGCTTGAGAAGCTTGGGCTTGAGGTGGCGCCTGGCGCAGTTGAGCAACGTCTGCTTCGCACAACACCATGGAAAGCACCCAAATCGCACAAGACCATCTCCCACTCGCAAGTGCGTGGCTTAGGGATCAGCTGAAGCGAACGTAACAACTAGAAACAGACGCAAAGACCTCAACTCACCAGCCCCCAAGGACCCTTGCACAGCACAAACCATTCTCTTGTTCAGTGACTGCGCACCCAAAACGGGGAAAGTGAATTAAAAAGTCAACGCAACATGCCAAGCCTGGGCTGACAGGGCAAAGTGCAGCTCGCCTCAGCTGCCCACTTACGGTCGCCATGTCAACACACTCGTCAGGGCTATGTGGTCCTTGCCCCAAAGCCAACCGTGGCATGGCGATGCGCACGCGCAGCGCGCAGCGCGCGCGCAACGCTCCAAAGCCAAGGACAGATGGACCGCTCGACCCGCGGCTTTTTTGCTCTGGCGTCTGCAGGTGCCTAGCCCGCGCTGGATCAGCACGTGGTCGAATCGCAAGCTGAAAGAGAGCGCCACACTTGGCACATGCCACTTTATCGACTTTCTGAGAGCTGTTGCCATGGGGGTTAAAAATTTCCGTCCATGGTCCTTTGTCCTCACGTGCAGGCCTTCGTGGTGCCATGTGCCAGGCCCCGAAAGTCGGGTCGCCTCCCCTCCCATTCTCCCCAACACGAGTCAAGGGTTCCACTTGGCCATCCTGAGAGGGCTTCTGAAACCTGGAAAAGCCCTGAGACACAAAGTATACGTATATTCGTCAGCGGACCGATTGTGACAAAAGATTGTCTGGGTGGGGCAAAAGGAAAAGCTGGATCCTTCATGTTTGCTGAGATGCAACCTATGCCTTGAACTGGCCAACAAAGAAGCTCCACCCAGAGCGCGAAAGTATCTGCTCCAATGCCAAATGTGGACTTCCAGCGTTGGGTTCCGACGTTTGGACTCCTCACCATCTAGCCTTTCCGCATGATTTTCGGAGGAGAAGCTTGAGCTATGGCGCAACACTTATGCACTTATGGTGCGAAGCTCTTTCAGGGACTCGCGGAGGTCTAACTTCAGGAACCCAAGTGAGAGCTGGAAGCCTTCGACATTGCGCTCGACTGAGAATTGGTTCAGTCTCCTGAAGTCCTGTGAAAGCCCCTTCACAGGCCAAGCTCACCGGCCCTGGTGGAAGAATCTCGTAGCGTGGGATTGCTTGGGTGGGCTCGGCACATCCTCCTTGGGCACTGCATCCGAAGATTCCGTTGCCGTGCCACGCAACCACTTGCCCGACCACAGAGCCAAAACCTCACCGGCGTCCATCCTCTCGGCAAAAGACCAAGCTCAAAACCATTACCTGTCTCATTGACCGCTACTTCGAACAGCTTTTGTCAAACACACGATTGAGAAGAGCCCACGGGGTGAAGCAGCGACCGAACAATGGAAGCTTCATGCCAGCGACCGAACCTTTGTGCTCAAGTCTCGCTAAGGTATTCATGCCCCCCATTCTCTGGGCTCCCTGATTTTGGGCCAAGCCAAGTTGGCACACATGCAAGGCCCTCCGAGCCATGTCTCGCTGCCAGTGCAACCCCAGGAACCCCAAAAACACCCCAACCCAACCAACTCAACCCACCCGAAAGCCTCCAAGGGCAAAAAAGCAAACCACAACACCCTGAAACCACAAAAAGCCGCAGAAGCCAACAAACCAAACAAACCACAAGCACAAACAACACCAAAACCGAAACCGCCTAACCCCCCCAGCTCTCCGCTTCCCCAACCTTCCGACTGACGGCTTCGCCGCTTCGCCAAAGGTCCCGGCAGTGCTCCTTGAGCCTTTGCTCCGCCAAGTCCAGACGCCGCTGGAGCTCCCGACCCAGCTCCTGGTCTCCGTTTCGCTGTTCTCTGTGTTTTTCTGGTTGGGTTTCACCAAGGGAAACAAGGGAAGCAAGGACGCCTTTCGGGGCCATTTTTGGGGCCATTTTTAGATAAGCTTGGAAACCACCCAAATCCAAATGACAAATCACCATTGGGGGGCCCCCTCATGAAACGTACCGTGAGAATCTCCCTTCGCCTGCAATAACCGAGTTGATCGTGGATAGACCAACCTCCACCCCGGTTCAAGTACAGACACAAATCCAAGCATACAGGGTCGTGAGAAAAGGACTTGTGCTTGATTCTGGACAGGCTTTCTTGACAGTAGGAACTTGAAAGGAGCACTGGTGGACAATACATGGGAAATTGGTGGAAAGCTAGTGGAAAAACTTTTGGACACAAGCACTTAGACGTGATTTACTTCGTGTGTAGAATGCCTTGACAATTAAGTGTGCCCTTCCGGGTTCCTTCCATCCCTAGGAAGGGTTCTTCTTTGTTGGAGCGCTGGTCGTGAATGCGAATTGGACAAATGGTGCTCACTCACAGTTTCGGCGAGGGGTTCAACATTGCTTTCCTCCCCAAAGGGTCAACTCACACACCCGGCCTTGCCCATGCTCTCGGCGGCCCTTGACAGGTCCTGGCAGATTCGGCAAATTCATGAACTGCGTGAATTTGCAATGGGGGGTTTGTGGTCAACATGGCGTCTGTGCCCAGCAACCGTGTTATAGGGAGTTCCCTGTTTTGAAGCTCATATTGCCATATTTCCGCAGCGCGACGCCGTGGATCATCAAAGACCCGAAGGTTGATTTCAGCTGGAAGCGGTACTTTGCGCAAAGCAACCGTGCCTCGTGCCATTGCACATCTGTGGCTGCACCTTGGTCTCAGGCTTCACTCGGAACGCTTGCCGCGAGGTCTCACGCTACCGCTCAGACGTTGCAATGCGTTTGCCACTTTCACCGCATATTTACATTGTTTGGCCAATGGAATTGCAAGCGCTCGTCTGCCAATATTTTTCCATCTGTTAGGGTCTGACTAGGGCCACCTCAGCCCCTCGCTCGAGTCGAGGTGAGTGGGTGTGCCAGGCATCATTCACAGTGCCGCTTGCTTGACGCACCGTCTGCTGTACAAGCCCCGAGGTTGGTAGCTGAAACAGCATCATCTGTGCGCAAGGTGACGGCCGCAGAGCTGAGCCGCTCGAAGCAATCAAAGCAACATTTCAGCTTGTGCACTTGATTCGTTTGTGCCTTGCCTTTACCGCTTGAAATGGCTCAGTCATCAGCTTTCCAGGGCTAGGTCCTCAAGACAGACTTCCAACGCGCGATGCAAGGATCGCAGTTGCGCGGACGAGGATAAATCGTGACTGGTGGAAGTCTGCAAGAAAACCCAGCCCTACGAGGATCAGGTCATAATCTCCACGCCGCCCTTGCCGCGATAGCACGGAGGAGTGAGACAGAAGTACTTCTCGTGGAACTCTGGCTGCTCGTCGTAGGGATTCAGGAACAGCTTGTAGAGCTCGTGGGTTTTCCTAAAGTCACCCTTGGCTGCATCCTCATCAGGGATTTGTAGCCAGAAAAGGGGCAGAAGCAACACCTTCCGAGCCCAATTTGCCGATCCCTCGCTTCCAGATCATCTTGGAATGAGGAATCTCCCATTCCTTGTTGCACTCCTCATATTTTTCCTAAACAGCATTCTTTGGACAATTTCTGAAGCCCAATGGTTGATTCTCTTCCGGCCCAACAAATGGACACCAGGGCAAGCACATGTCCCGACGTCCTCATAGGCCTGGACCAACATCCACTCTCTGGGCACGAACTTGGGGTTGACTTTCCGCATCTCGGCAGCACACACATTCGCCGGCCCCGCAGCTGTTGCGACGTCCCGCCAGCGCCGGAGCCAGGCCAGCCATCGGGCCTCAGGGGACCACCCACACCGGTTCCTGGGAGACCAGAACATGTCGAACCCAGATTCTGCTTAATGAAATACTCACTTCCTGAGTGGATTGGCCAGCAGAAGTAATACTTCTTGCTTGCCACTAAAACGATCTTTCCAAAAGGATTCAAGTCCAGGAACTCAGGAAGTGACTATAACCCATGGGGAAATCCTCACACAACGCAGTAAGAATGACTCATTTCATAGATGCTTGATGGACTTGGTGCAGGTTCTGTGGCTCGACGGCACCGCGTCGGAACCCTCAACCCCAGCCTTGGACTCCGGGGGCACTGCGGCGTAGAAGGCGGGCCGCACCAGGGCGAACAAGGCCTCGCCCTGGTTCGCTTCCCGTTGCCCCGCCCCACAGGAAAAGACAACCACCAAGCTCACCCCAAACACATACCATAGTACCCCTCCAAAAACAATCCCCACAGCCTCCGGTGTATAATGTCACTTGGCACCCCTTCCCATGGCTGGTTTCATGTTGCTTTGCAGGAACACAAGCCGACGCACACCACTATGGCGGATGTTGGCTTCCACGCGTCACCGTCCATCAACCTCCTTGCCCACGGGATGGTTGTTCAATGCCACAAGAGAGGGTGTTAGGAGCTTGACACGTCGACGCAAGTTCTGTGCGACGAATGGGGCATGAAACAGAACTTGCACCTGGCCGAAGCCTTGGGTTGGAGAAGGATAATTCCTTTTCTAGAACCATGGGATGCAGCCCACCTAACCAACACCACACGCAGTAATCGCAGCCGTCCAAAAAATAAGCCCCCCCGCAAATCTAGGACATCTCCATGCTGGCCCCAATTTCAGGACATCGAAATGTCGGATTTCCTTTCGTACCAGGGCCCTGGCTCCCACCAAGAACGGCTCGAGAGTGTATGCCCCGAGAGCCAAAAGCCGGCCCGCATCCTAACTTCAACCAGGCTTTGCACGCCGCATTTGCCGTTCACTCTCATCCACTCTGGATCAAGGTGTTTGCCATTCTTCATTGAGCCGAGCTCACACCAGCACAGTGCTCGGCCAAACAACGTTTTCACTTTCACCGACCCTTTCCCAACAATGTAGCCTCATCATGCCAGAGTCCCGGACACCAAAGACAGAAAAGGATTTCGAATCATTTGATTGGCAAGGCGCAGACTACCGCCCAACAAAAACCCTTAAGCAACCACTTGCTTGTGCGAATCTTAAACCTGGGAAAGCATTCGCTGAACATTAATCTGGATATGTCGCCCTTGTCTGCATTCTTGTGATCTGCTCAGCAATCGAAACGCGCCAACCAACAAAACATCCCCCCCACCCAAGTCAAAAACAAAGAAGAACAAAACAACCAACCCCCCTAACAATCGTCCTGGAACACCTCCAAAAACACAACAAACCAGGAAGCGGGCGCTTGCCTCCGCCAGCGGCTCCAGGTTCTCCGACTTGAGGCTCTTCTCTCCGTCCTCTCCGAACCGAAACTCACAGTTTGAGTTGAGGGACAGACTTGGGTCTTGGGGAAGGTTCTTGGTGGGCCACTCCCTTTCGAACAGGGGTTCTCCCGAAGATTCGATCGGATTCGTTTTATTGTCCGTGGGAAAGGGAAACAAATGGCTGCCTTTCACCAAATTCCCACCCCTGAGAGGCTTGGTCATCTAGGAACGTTGCGCAGCCCCTCCTGGGTCCAATTTGCGAATCTACGCGATTTCCTGTGGCTGGTCTCCTGGGGAACCCCTTCACATGTCCGCTACATTCTAGCCTTCCGTCGAGCCCCGCATGCCTGTTTTCTCGGACCAGCGTGACAGTTCTAGGGGTTGATTCCCCATTTTATTCAACCATCAGTCTTGTCAAGCAGCTGTTTCCCCTGGGATTATGACGGTTTTCTGCAAAGAAGGATCCCGGGAAAGAATGGAAATGGAAGTGTCCTCTAGACGTGCACTTTGAGAATCAATCCGTCCTTGGTGGCCACTGCCCAGCGGTCGTTGGCGGCAGAGCCCAGGCAGGTGGCCAGGGAGTCGTTGAGCTCCGCGGCCGACTTCAGGCCCGAGATCCGCACCAGGCACCCGCTGCAGAGGTCCAGGTCCGAGTCCACCCAAACCTCCTGGGGCACTTTGCTGTTGAATCCCCAACCCATTTTTTTCGGCCAGGAGCCAACGGGTGAAATGGAGCCCAGTGACTTCTGGTTCCAGGCACTCATGCTCCTTTTGAGTGGCATTGCTTTGGGAAGCTTCAGGGGATATGCAGGCCTGAAAGGTGGTAACCCCACTATGATCCGAGAATCACCTTGGGTTCAAGGGGTTCCCCTTCGACTCATTCCCAACACCCGACCTTCCTGAAACATGGGGTCTATCAGTCTGGAGATTTATGGGGCTGACCCAACGACTTACGCCACCTTTTTTGTTAATGTAGCTTGCCAGATGGATTTATGTTTTGTTGAAGTTGCCCTTTTCAGGCTGATTTAACAGACATCATAAGGAAACCCACAACTTTTGGGGTCCTCCTATTTTGACACATATGGTTCTGTAAAGGTGTCAAAGGTTCGAGGCCTTAAGCCAAATGGGGTCGATTAGATAACTTCATGTGTAGATGAATGGGGGAGCGTCTAGCCCAAATGCGGAATTTTGGGCAACTCCCGTACTTTGGGACCCATTCTTCTCCTCTCAGCCCCCTGCTGCTCGTAAAACCAGTCAACACAAAAGGCTAGCCTCAGCCCCAACAGAGTGGAGGTTAAAGGAGTCCCGCTGAAACTTGGGACTTGGGAGTCCTGAAGCAGGAAACGGGGGGGGAGTGCCGTTTTGGGCGATATAAACGATTCAAACAGGTCCTGAAATCAAGGCTTCCCGAAAAGGCGCTTGAAGGGAATATAGCTAACCATGGGGTCCCATTATCGCTTCATGGTACACGGTCCATGTACGGCGCCCCTTAGGTCATGCTATGTGAGCCGCAGCCATGGGACATCTCACAGGTGAGCGCCCAAAACCCGAGCGGACTTTTGGCTCTATCAACGCGGTTCCAACTTTCCGCATGACACGTAGACCCGCCCCACTGCCCTCAAAAAAGGTGTTCAGGCGCCGCCCACTTCACGTGAAGGCTCCTTGGCTTCCAAGACATCTGCCAGCAGCCGGAAGAACATGATGTAGTCCACCCCCCGCATCATGGACTCTAATTTTTCCCACAATCCCGCCGCCTCCTGCTTGTCTGCCTGCACAGATCAAGGTGTTTGAGTCAGGCACTGGTCAAGTGGGTTCACTTGCCACAGTAGGTAAGCCGGATTTTGACCTCTGGACTCCACACAGTTCTTCCCCTTCACGGGAAACTGGATGTAATACATTCTCAGCGTGTCGAGCGACAGAACTTGGGGGTAAGAAAGCGCTGCCATGCCTTTAGCGCCCCCAGACCGAAAGAAGCGGCCAACTCACCTCCAACCAAAAGCTGAGTTCGTCAACCCCAACTAAAATGGAATGTCTCGATTGGCTTCCTTTCGGTTTCCCTCTGCAACAACTTCTGCAACAACTTCTGCAACAGATGCTGAGTTTCCCAAAGGACGCAAAAATACGCGGATGCCCTCTTGACACCTTTAAACGGATCAAACTGGTCCAAAGGTCGACTTGCATGGGGAGGTAAGAATGGGCGCAGCCAGCGCCATGTTGCCTCTACAACACCCTGGCCTGGGTGAGGCCCAACTTGGCGGCCCACATGGCGGCCACTGCCTCGTCCATTTCTGCCGACGCGCCCTGCACCAGGGCCTGGATCCGAACAGACCGCAAATGGAGATCTAGACCCCTAAGGCCCATCAGAAAGTGCATAGAAAGTGCCCGAGTAGGCGGTTTGATCATGGAACGCGTATGTCAGCTAGGAACCTCCCTTTGGGCGGCAACTGGTTGAACAACCTGTGTTCAAACGACCTGTGGGTTTTCTTTGGGGGGCCCAACCCGAGGGTCTAAGGCCCAACCCAAGGGT